TCTTTCGCTCCTAAATTCCCATCACTATATCGCGGCCCTGCCCGACCCGCCCTCCAGTAGTTCTTTTCCAGACCATCCACTCCCATCCCCCTCCTCCCCACCTCGGCAGCCGCCCGCTCGCATCCCCCAGACGCAGCGAATTCTATCGGAAACTCCTCCGCGCCGCTTATCGGACGCGCAGGTACATCGCGTCTTATTCCGTCCGCGTCATTGCCTTCCGCCGCGCGCCGCGTCGCGCTGATCCGCTCAGAGAGGGAGAGAGGGAGGGAGAGAGAGAGAGAGAGAGAGAGAAGGGGGGGGGGGTGCCCCTGAGGATGCTCCGAGCGAGCTCGTATGGAGAAAAGGGGGAATGGAATAAGGGGGAGCTACGAGTTCTTATTGTGCGGCCAGATTAACTCGTTGAGGGAGATGTTTGGCATAACCAGAGTCTCTCGACGGAACCCACGGACAAAGTACTACAGTACAGCACGCAACAAAATGCACGCACACGACGTCCCTTCCATTTTTGTCGGATCTCCCGTTGTTGTTGTTTTTCTTTTTTTAAATCTCATTTTTTTAAACCGCGTATTTAGCTGCGTGCGTGCTGAATGCGCGTATGCGTGTGTGTGTGTGTGCGTGTGTTTTTAATCGCGTGGTTTCGGCAGAGTAGGGCGCGAGGGCTGGTGTGGGACACCCCCCCTCCCCCTCCCTCTCTCTCCTCCGGGCGCGAAACGTGTCCCCAACGATCTCATTTTCATTTTCAGCGAACCTCTTCGTGGTGGCGGTGGCGGCTGCTTGGCGTGGGAGGTGCCCCCCTCCCAATATGCACGCGTGTAACGCCTCTGCTGCCGTTGGGGCGGGGCAGGGCGGGGCGCCTTGGCGCGCCCCATGATGGGGTACTAGTCGTGGGCGGCGAGGGAGGAGGAGGAGGAGGAGGAGGCTGCGGTTTTGCGGCGGGGCGAGGCGCGGCGACGCCGCCAAGGAGTTGGGCGCGCGGACAGGCGGCGGGGGCGTGGGGTGAGAGGGATCGCTTGTCGGCGCTAAAAGCACGGTCATGTTCATGTATATGGATCACCACGCGCGCGCGCTCAGGCAAAATGCTGTGCGGGGGTTGCTGGTGTTGGTGGTCGTGGGCAGGGCGGGAGCAGGGCAGAGCAGGACCAGCGCAGCGGCGCCTCGCCTGTCTCTCATTACGTCCGGGAGGAGAGCATCCGCACCTAACACGGTCCGAGGGGAGGAGGGGTGTGAGTTTGTTGTGCAGGTTGGGGGTGTAGGGTGTGGGCGCGACCGCGCGAGGGGGTGGAGTAGGGACGGGCGGGCCGGGCACGCTACCCCCGCTCCCCCTTTCCCGCTCTCTCCCTCCTCCCTCTCTCTCCCTCGCCACTCTCTCTCCCTCTCCACACTCTCTGTGCCGGGCCTCGGCTTTATTTCATTTTTGTTGTGTCGAGGCGAGATGAGCCAGGCACGCCGCGCGGCACGCGTGTGTCTTCAACAACATTCCCCTCTTGCATAACAACAATGCTGTTCTTTCACGGCCACTCTCTCCTTCTCTCTCAACACACTCCAACAAACCCTCCTTGTCTCTCTCACACTCCAACACAATCTCCTTTTCTCTCTCCGTTCCACCCCCTTCGCCTATCCCGCATCACCACCACTCGCCTGCTTGGGTGTAAAGATAAGTGACGCTGACGGTGCCTGCCCGGCCGCCACCGCAACACCGCTCCAGAGAGCAGGGGGCTGCGGGGGGCCGCGTTGCGGCGCAGAGAGAGAGAGAGAGAGGGGAAGGCTGAGAGTTTGCTCAGCGTATTTACTTTGGAGGCGCTTTACCGGCGAATATTACTGGGCACACACGCGCCGCCGCGCACCCCGTTGATCCCGCCAACTTACTCAAGGAGGTGACGCGGCGGCGCACACATTCGCACGCACACACACTCACATACTCGCACTCCTGCTCGCCAACGTGTGCGTGCGAAAGGGTCCCGCCCGAGGCAAACAAGGGGCGGCTGCTGCAGGTCTTTCTGCTGCCGGGCCAGCGGACTCAGCTGTAGGAGAGGTGCGGGTGCTCGGATTGATTCCCGTTGTCCGGCCGCAGGACTCTGGACTGGATTTGGGCCGGCCGTTCGTTCTCAGTCGGCTTGCAATAGAGATTTATTCGCGGGTCTCCTCGTCCCGCTGGCTTCCCCCGCGGCACTAGGACGGCCGCCAGGATAACACTACTGGAGGCGCAGAGGGCAGCCGGCGCCGGCCGCCGCCACCAGGGGGGAGG